GCAGCTCGCGGCCGTCCAGCGTCGGCGTCGCGCTTGTCGTGGGAGCGCGCGAAGGCGAAGCGCGGGACTGCTTGGGGGAGCGGTCCCGCGGGATGTAGGCGTCGCCGACGCGGCCGTACTTCTGGAAGAGGCGCCGCAGCGTGTCCGGCGAGGTGCGGTAGGTCAGGCCGTCCACCTTGAGCGAGGTCATGCCCTCCACGTCGGGGGGTGGGGGGCGCTCGGGCCGAGGCGGCGGGGCCTCCTCGCAGAGTCCCTCGGCGGCGGCAGGCGGTGGTCGCGTGGGGCTGCTCAGAGGAGGCTGGCGGCACGACAAGGAGCAGACTCCGCACCGACGCCACCTGAGCAACAACTCCCTGTTAACGTTTCTTGTAAGGGTGATCCGTTTTTACACATTCCCTTCATTTCTGTTTTTTTCCTGGAAACGTTTTAATTCTGTCCTCCTCGATAGTGAGGCACCAGTAGTGGATGTAGAAAGCAGTAGGTAGACAGAAGGTAGACAGTAAGGTGCTACTTTGGAGGGCAATAGGAGAGCCTCAAAGGCAGAGTCCACCCTGGTTCTACAGCCCCCGTGAGTATCTTCAGGCTTCTCCTACTTATCCAGGCCTGAGGGTGCACACGTGATGAGGGAGGTGTGAATCTATTTTATTATAGGATCTAATAGTTTGCAAATAAGGTCATAATCACATGGACAAGGCTTAGGACTTCAACACAGTTCCATAACAGGGGTCTTCTGTGCTCACACAGGGAGATGCCTCTAAAAACACAGGGACATGTGGCTTTGAGCAGTAGAAAGCTGTTGCAGGTTTCATTGGAAAGTGGCCCTAGCTGACTCTGCCGCTCTGAATCTGTACTTCACTGTAGGCAAGAAAGACTGACTGACTAAGAGCTGTGGAATATGTGTTCACAGGAAATGCAGTCACAAGGGAGAATGCGAGAACAGGTCATTTTCAAAACACACTGAGTGGAGAGCAGTAATGTGAAGAGAGTTCAGCATGAAGATATAGAAAACAGATTTCAGAAAGTCTTTAATATACGTCCAAGTAAAAGAAGTTTGCATGTTATCCAACATGCTCTCTAATCAAAAAAACATAAAGCACTTTGTGTTTCTAAATGCAGTAATGTTTGTAATACATACTATGTAATAGTAAGTACTGTGAATAAGAAAACAATGTCCACCTTCTCATATGATCACACTAAGTGCACAATTTTATTTCCCTTCAAGAAATGCATTGCATTTCTCAAACAGAAGTTTTCTAAACATAATGAGAATGAAAAAAGCATCAAGGCAAGAGATTCATGGTGTGCATTTCAAAGAAAGCAGCGAAAGTGTCTAGTACACTTTGAGTCTGAGAAAATTATCAAGTGTTTCGCCTTTTCACACACGACAAGCTAATAGGATTTTTCATGTTACTTTGTCTTACATTGCTTCTTATAATATGTATTGGGAACATTCATCTCCTCATAAAGATACAGTACCTTCCATTTATTTTCCAAACACTATGCACTTTCTTCTTAGACAGCAATCAAAGCATAGTAAGCTTGGCTTCATCTCAAGAAAGAATGACATTTCTCAAAGGCAACGGTGTGTCCGTACAGTTTGTGAGCCCAAGAAAGTAACATAGGTTTCTACAAACGCATTACAAACTTATGAGGATCTTAATGTTCCCAGCACATGTTCAGTTTTTCTTTGACAACATTGAAAGCATGATATCTTTTCTTCCTTTTTAAAAATGCATAACTATCACGCAGGACATTTTCCAAACATACTGTGAATAGAGAAGAGTAATGTCAAGAGATTTCAATATTTATATAGTAAGCAAACCTTGGAAACAAACAAACCAGTATTTATATAGTAAACCTAATAAGTTCTGAGTGTCACAAAACCATTAGGTATTTTTTCCCTCTGGAGCTCAAGTTCAGAGTGAAAGAATTTTATATATTAGCCAATGTTCCGTATGTATACTGTGAATAAGGAAACAATGTTTTCTTTCTTGAATGACAGCCCTCTGAACACAATTTTATTTCTTTCAAGAAACATATTACATTTCTCCAATAGAACAGGTCTCTAAACATAGTGTGTATGGAAAAAGAGTTGTGATAAGTAGGATTGTTGTGCCAACCTGGCTAATAAACACATGTGGGGTTAATAAGATTGCAGTTTAATTGAAGGGCAAAGAGATAAATGGCTTGGCAAGCCTTGCTCGCCTTTCTGTCTCTTGCTCTTTGATGTTCGGACCAGTGTGTGGCTACTTTAGCTAGTTCTCTGCCTCAACTTGCGAGCTACACTATTTGTGGGTCACCAAACATGTGGACTGTGTCGCTATAGTTTGAGGTTCCTTTGAGACCTGCTTCGCCACACTGCTGGTGTATACATCACTTGAGCTGAGGACTGTTGGTGACCTGCCCTGCTGTTTGCTGCCTGTGGCCAGATTGCCTGTATTGTACTACAGAAGACTCAGCTGTCTGCTTACTGGACTTGCACCCAGCAGCCCTTGTGAGTTGAAGGACTGCCAGGGTATTAACTGTCTCATGGAAGTGAGTTGAACTGGGCCATTTGTACTGCTCTGTGGACTAATTAGCTGTTTATTTCTTATGTTGTATATATCTATCTATAAAATCATAAGTGTCCTGGTTTTGTTTAGCTAGAGAACCCTGTCTACACAAGAGTAATGACAAGAGGTTCTTGATTTGCATTTAAAGGAAAGTAGGGAATGTGCCAGTACACTCTGAGCATGAGAAAACAATTTTATGTTTCTCCTTCTCAAACATGCTGCTAATAGTATTTTACATATTATCCAATATACTTTGTCTTACAATATTTCTTTACGGCGTTTATTGGGAAAATTAATCTCCTGTAAATATGAAGTGCCTTCTGTTATTAGCCCAAACAATATGTACTTTCTTCAAAGACATTTTGCTTTCTTTTAAAAGCATAGTAAGCTTCACCTCATCTCAAGAAAAGATATTTCTCAAAGACAACTGTTATCCACACAGGTTGTGAGCACAAGAAAGTAAAAGAGGTTTTCACAAATAAACTTTAGGTTATAAAGAGGGTAATGTCCCAAATACATATTCAGTGTTCTCTATGACAATCCTTATTGAAAGCACATTGTCTTTGACGTCCTTCTCAGAAACACATTCTGATCATCACACAGGTAAACAAACCTCGGGAAGTGAAGGAACACATCTCATAGATTGCACCGGAATGGTTTCCCAAACATACTGTGATTAGAAAAACAGTGATGTCAAGATTTTAGGGTGTCTATACATACAATTATGTTCTGTGTGTGACAAAACCATTTAGTGTTTTTGCCTTTCAAACATGACAAAGTAAAAGAATTATACAAGTCATTCAATACATTTTGTATTGCCATAATCAAAAGAATGAAAAACACAGTGTCACATTGTTACTAAGATTTTACATGTTATCTAATACAATTTGTCTTATGTGGCTTCTTTACAGTAAGTATTGTGAACATTAATCTCCTTGTAAACATAAAGTGTCTCGTTCTTTTTCAAAACACCGTGTGATTTCTTCAGTGATATCACTAAAAGAACAGTAAGTTTGACGTCATCTCAAGAAAGCATGGCATTTCTCAAAGATAACAGTTTATCCATACAGTTTGTGAGCATAAGAAAGTAAACATGCGTTCACAAACACATAACAAGCTTATGAGGACGGTAATGTTCCCATTACATAGAACGAAGGAGAAAACAGTCTTCAGTATAGCTCATGACAACATTCACAACATAAAGTTTCTTACTTCCCTCGAAGAAACACATTCCCACGGTCAGTTTTCAAAGCATATTGTGATCCAGAAAAATAGTAATGTCAAAAGATTTCTGGGTTATATATATATAGAGAGAAATATTGAAATATATAGAAAATATATTTTCTCTAGATATATATTCCAGATATATATCATATATATTTCTATAATATATCATATATATTATTGAAGAAATATATATAAAACTAACTCAAAAAGTCCCTAATATGTTTTATGTGGGACAAAACCTTAGTGTTTTTTGCCTTTCTAAAATGTCAAAGTGAAATGATTTTATGAAAAGCACTCTAAGTTTACAAATGCAGTAATGTTTGTATTACATAATAAGAGAACAACATCCACTTTCTTGAATGGCAATGATATGAGTTCAATTTTATTTCCTTTCCAGAAACACATTGTATTTCTCCAACAGTTCTCTAAACATGGTGTACGTGAAAACAGAGCAATGACTTTGGGTTCTTGGTTTATCTTTAGAGTAGAGAATATCACCAGGACATTCCGAGTGTAAGAAAACAATGAGTGTTTCTCCTCAAACACGCTGTTCATGGGATTTTACATGTTATTCAGTACCCTTTGCTTCTTCATAGTAAGTAGTGGGAACATTAATCTCCTTGTAAACATAAAGTGCTTTCTGTTATTTGTCCAAACACTATATGCGTTCTTCAAAGACACTGTGCTTTCTCCTACACTCACAGTAAGTGGAGAGGCAGTGAATAAAAGGGAGCCCCTCACGGAGATGGATTGACACCCTGGCTGCCACAATGGGTTCAGGCAGTGGGACAGCTGTAAGAGTGGTGCAGGACTGTGCCATGCTTCACTCTGTTTTGCCCAGGGTCTCGGTGCATTGTATTTCAGGGATGTCGAATCAGTTCTGACTCATAAGAGCCCTAGTACAAGAGACTGGAGCATTGTAGTCCTTCACCATCTTCACAATGGGTCTAACGTCTAGACCTACGGTATTATCGAAACAACTGTGTCAATCCATCTTGTCAAGGGTCTTACCCCACTTTTTCCCTGCCCCTTTCCTTTACCAAGGATGATGTCCTTTATTAGGAACTACTGTAGTCTCATAATAAAATGTTCAAGGGACATGAGATGAAATCTCACCATTCTTGTGGGTTTTTTAAAAATCATTTTATTTGGGGACTCGTACAACTCTTATCACAATCCATCCATCCATCCATTGTGTCAAGCACATTTGTACATTTGTTGTCTGCATCATTCTCAAAACATTTGCTTTCTTTCATCAAAG